TAACGGGAAAGAACGCGTCCATCAGCAGTAAGGCCGGAAATGGCGACGCCGATGTGATCGTCGACTTTGAAGATCTTCTTCTGGTGCGAGGATAGTTCAGAGTTAGCCTTATTGACGCAGGCAAGAACCACATGGGTCTTGGATCGGAGGCCAATGGCAGCGGAGCCTTGCTTCACGGCCTCCATCGCGTACTCCACCTGAAACAACCTCCCCGCCGGACTCCATGTCGTCACGTCCGTATCGTACTGATTCCTAAACATTGTTGCTGAAACAAAAATAAAAACAATTCAAGAGTTTCGCAGAGCCACAATCACGATCCCTGGTGTGCACAAAGGGAGAGGATTGAGGTCGTATTAATGGAGGATTTAGGGGTTTCGTCTTCTCCAAGGCAATATTTGGCGATGGGTTTCCTCACTTTGTACTGTGGTGAAACACTTTATTTCTAACTTCTTCTTATTTTTTTTTATTTAATTTTTTTTTTACTAAAGTATATAAATCAAAATAGAAGAACACCATATTAATATTAGTGATATGACACTGCTAGTTCGAGCATAACTTAGTAGATACAAACATTATTTAATGTCTCAACGATTGCTGACTGGATCACCCGCCTCATCAGTATATAAAAAAATAAATTTATTTATGTAATCGTCTAAGCCCACTGCTAACAGATATTATTTTTCTTGTGCTTTTCCTTAGGAGCTTTCCACAAAAGTTTTAAAACACATATACTGGTCAAAGGTTTCCACGTCGTTGTAAGAAAATTTTCGTTATTCTCTCCAACCAATGTGGAGTATCACAGTCCACCCCTTGGATGCTGACACAGTCCAATATCTGACAATGATACCATTTGTAACAAAGTCCTTATAAATATTGTTATTTTTAGGCTTCCTCTTAAGGTTTTAAAACATGTCTACTATGGATAGGGTCTAGCCCTACCGTGATTAGAGCTAGTCACTTGTTAAGATCTTGAAGCGGTGGACTTTGACTGCTATTGTTACCGTTTAATGACGATGATAAAAATAAAATTATTTTAAAAAAACATTATTGTTTAATGATTATAAAATATAATGCATAAGTATTTTTTTTTTTTTGAAAATATTATTTATCATAGATATATAAAATAATTGGATTAAATGAAAATATATAGGAAATTGTAAATTCAAAATGGATAATTAAATATAGAGATAAAATTAAATGACGACAAAATGGAACTATTGGGTATGGAGCCCATGGGTTTCCATTTTATGGGCCTGAAATTCATTATCCGGCCCATATTGTCCAATTCGCCCAGTTGCCGAAAGCTCACAGATATTCAACGACGAAAAAGGAGGGAAAACAAGCCCTAGAGCGAGAGCGCCATTTTCTTCGACTCCTTGTTCTTTTGAGCTCCACAGATTTCAAAGAAGCTCTTGCTCGCCATTTCGGAACCATGGTAAGTAAGAATTTTCTTTTTTCCTTGCTTTTTGGTTCTGTATAATGTTTTCGTTGTTCTTTTTACCCTTTCCCCCCCGCGATTCGATGTGGAATGAGTGTTAATGTAGCCGTATGTTGTATCAGATAGTTGGCTGAAGTTTTCGATTTATTTTACTGATTCTTCTGTTATGTAGATTCTTGGCTGTTTATTTTTTTGTAACTCCATTTTGCTTTGATTCGTAAATGACGCTTAATTCTCTGATATGATTGTTTGGACGTTGTAGAGCATCCCAGTTAACCCGAAACCGTTTTTGAACAATTTGACTGGAAAGACTGTGGTTGTGAAACTCAAGTGGGGGATGGAGTACAAAGGTTTGGTTCTATCTGCTGCTTGTTTTCTTCGTTTCTTTTGCCTGCTGATGTTTGTACTCACTTTCGTTTACATTTCAGGCTTTCTTGTCTCGGTGGACTCGTACATGAACTTACAGGTGTGTTTCTACTTGCATTGACATTAATTTAGTTAGTTCTTTTCGATTGCAATCATATTCTTGTTGTTTTTATGTCTCCCTCTGCTGCAGGGCTTAGTTTACCAAGAGTCCGTATACTATTTTGACTGTAATGAATTTACTCGATATGAGAAGGGAACTTAGTCTAATCGTCTTTTTACTTGAAACATTGTTCAAACATTGCACTAACTGATTCTATGCCGTTCATCTCTGAATCTAACTTGATGTGTTCTGCTCATATTGAAAGTTCCCCCTTACAACTATTTATCATTGGCTTTTTCTGGAGAACTAGTTTGAAACAACGTTGGCCATTTTTGTTTTCATAATTTTTTGTAAGAAATGCTTTGGAATAATTTGTAAATTTTATTATTTATTGTGCATGTCGAAACTGGTATACATAGTCAAGTGGTTTAGGCATCTCTACTTTGTTTAAGAGGTCGTGGGTTTCACTCCTCACTCCCACATTTGATTTAATATTCTTGAAAGGGAAATTAAGTTACAATTTTTTAATGCAGCTTGCCAATACTGAGGAATATATCGACGGACAATGTACTGGGAGTTTGGGAGAAATATTGATCAGGTAACCTTTTTTTTGTGATTGAAAATCACAATATCTAGTGCATCAATGCTTATTTGTTGATTGTAATGTGATTGGAGTGTTGTTTGAAATATCATTAGACTAATAAGCGTATATTAGTGATTGAATAGAGAAGTTGTGGTGATTCGATATAAATAGTATGGCAAGGAAAGGAGAGTAGAGAATTTTTTAGTGGTTTAGGCTTCAGTCAGTATAGTCAAGAGAGGGAAGGTTCCAAGTACCTCAAATATTTGGTTATCTTGGTGTTCTGTTATGTTTTATATTTCAGTATATTTGGTTCTATCAAATCTATTCCAGAGAAATTTGATTATGGCTGTGGGGTTCGATGAAAATTTATGTGAACAGCTGTTGATGTTTTTATGTGAAGAATTGAATCGTTCCCTCAAGTAATTGGCAGAGGTAATGGATTCAATGTTCCAATCTTTTCGAGATAGAGTGGCACAGAATTTTAGTGAAATGAAAGCGGAGATTATAGAAATAAGAAAAGAGATCAGATGGGCAAAAACAAAGAGGTAGACATTCATATTGGAATCAGATCTCTCATCTCGCAAGGATACAAAAAAGGTTGATGGTGAAGAGAGTGAGACGACCACAAAAAACATGGAACAAACCTCAGAATCCTTGCATGAGGAACAAGAGTGAGAATGAGAAGTCAATGAAGAAAAAAGTAAGAACGGATTTAGGATTAATGGAGCTTGTATGGAAACAAAGGAGAGTGTGCAAAAGAGGTGTAGAAGGAACCAAAAATACGCCTACCAAAAAACAGTTAATGTATGGTTAAGATCGAGGGGAGGTTAACCACTAACAATTGCTATTTCTATGGCTGGAGATTAGTTTGATGTTTGAAAACCTTTGAGTGGGCTGGGAAGACATTCAAGTTAAGAAAGGAAGGATTTCTGGAGAGATTGTCAGCAATTGCTACTTCTATGGCCAGAGATAAACACTTGGGGAGGCGCTAACGCAATCATCATGAAGAGAGGTATTTGAGGGATCAGAGGGGAACTGTTGTGTGAAAAATAGAAATAACAAAAGACGTGCAAGAGAGGCCAATGCTGGGGTCGTGGGGAAGGCATCAACACAAATTTCGTGAAGATGTATTCGTGGATATGAAGTTGGCTAGTCACGCGAATTGTTAGAAGAAAAAAAGGTCCATTTCTTCGGAACTACAAAAATAAGGCTCGAATTTTGGGGTGTGTTAACTTCTATATTTGAACTCAAGAACTGACCCACTACTAAAAGGAAAACCCTAGGAGCCATAGGTCCACATGTTTTCTTTTCACCTGCGTTGTCGCACATCCTTATTTCTATTCCCAACACTGCCGATTGTTGCCTGTGATATCTCCTCTACATGCCACTGCTTTCCGCACAAGGTCATCGCTTACCAACCAGTTGGGTGTTTGAAAGGGGAATGGATTTAGGCTTGAGAATGAATGTATGCTCAGGAGAGGAGATGTTCCAAATGCCTCGAAACTTGGTTATCTTTTACATTTTAGTATACTTGTTTTTATCATAATATGAATGGCTGTTTATGATATAAATGACTCGAGCGAGAAAATGTAACAGACAACGTGTAGAATATAAGGTCGTACACATGCATTTTTTTTCTACGAGAACTATAAGGATATGTTAGTAAGTTATTCGTGCTTAGCGATCAATTCTTCCCCAGATTCTCATATCGAACATGGCAATGTTCCTACTTTTTCCTGACAGGTGTAACAACGTTCTTTACCTTCGCGGAGTACCAGAGGATGAAGAGATAGAAGATGCAGAGCGTGATTAGCATGTAAATTTTTAGCAGCTTTTCGATGGCGCAGCAGTAGTGAAGTTTTATGATGTTATTGATACTATGTATGGCATCTCAAGGGACAGGAACACTCCAATTTGGTGGATTTCAAAACCTGCAACAATCGGTTTGGTATCATACAAGGATCTTTATATTTTTAAAATTGACCATTATTCTCGATCCATAAAATTTTAAAAAAATATCTCAAAATTGCTTAACCCTCAATTCACGTATCCAATACTATCGCTTGTTTTAAAATTTCATGTTTATTAAATGTTTTACTCATTTTAAAAAAATCAAACTTTAAAATTATCATGGGATTAAAATTTAAATCTATATATAGTGTGACAATTAATTCTATAAATTTCTAATGTCTCGGTGATATCAAATATTATGAAATTTAAGAAGTAATTATAGATTAAGCTTTTTGGATTTAATTGCATAGAAAATAGATTTCAGAGAAATCTGTCAAATCGGTAATAGTTAATTATTTATTCACATTTGTGAGTAAACTATATTTTTTGTCCCAAATTTTCTTATCGATATTATTATTTTAGGGTAAAAATTTTAAATTGAAAAATGAAATAAATATTTTAATATATATTATTTAATAGAAAAATACAAAACCACACACACACATATATATATATATATATATATATATATATAAATATATAATTTTTTTAAAATGATAAAACTCCCCAAAACCCCCGACCATATTGCATAGAACAAAACGTTCCATCCATAATACCAAAAATTGCCTTTCCCTCTTTCAGATCTGAATCGCTGCATTTGCTCGACACGTCCTGTTAGCTGATTGTTCCACCTCCGTCCCCAAATCCCTAATTTCACTATCAACTCCCTTTTCTCTGCTTCTATTCCTTCTCATATTACTGAGTTCTCACCTTCTTCTCGCGGGTTTTTTTTTTTGTTCTGTTTCATTCTTCGATTCAATGGTTGCTGCATCGTGGAATGTGGGTTTCCTCAGAAGATCTAGGGTTTATATCACCGGATAGCTACGCCCTATATGCGATTTTCAGATCAGGTACTTGAATCTCTGACGATTAATTGTTATGATGTTGCTTCCTTCTTCTATATATTTTTGCCATTCCTGTGGTTGAACGATTGAAACGAATCTCAGAGGACGAACGTTTGGGATGGAGATTGTACTAAAAGAGAAGGATGCTGCGGATTGGGTTTATAGAGGCGAAGGAGCCGCTAATCTTGTTCTTGCATATACTGGCTCCTCTCCACCTTTTGTATGTTGAACCTGTCGCTCCTTTCTCTAATTACATATAGATAAAAAAACACGATTGTCATTAGGATGAATTTGGCAGTTTCTACGTTGTTACAGATACTTTTCTGTAGTTGCAAGTTTGTGACTGGGAAATGGGGCATTGGATAGCCAGGAAATTCTTGACAATTTCCTTTTCTTTACGTATATAGCAGATGAGAATCTAAATGAAGGGATGGTTTGAATGCAACCTACAAAAGAGAGGGTATCACTTTGGGGATTTAAACTTTTTGGGGACTAACTATTCTTCTTGATATAGATTGGAAAAGTTATGCGTATACAAAAGGCTTCTATCAATGGATCACAGCATGCGAGGACTCCGACCGCATTTTCCAAATACGAATACTTGTTGTGGGGTGACATAGGGAACCTTGTCTCATCCGCTGATAGGGAGACTGCTGCCCAAACCTTTGTGCAGCGTGTAATGAGCCCTTTATTGGGTTCCAAACACGTTGATTCTGGTGTATGTTTTTCCTTTGCTCTTTAAGTGAATTGATATATTTCAGAAATACAGCTGATTGTGTACTTTTTCTTTTCATAGAATTCTACCATTAAAAGTGTTGCAAAACTGAGTACAAATTTCTGAGCGTGGTATATCTTTACACTCGCAGAAACTTGTTTTAGTAACCAGAGAATTTCTAGAGTTGGCAGAGAAGAATGTAAATAGTGAACGCCCATCTTGGAGAGTAGATGCTGGAAAGATTGATACCCATCGTGATTATGTTCTTATTATATCTGATCATTCCATTTTCCCTCACGGTAATAATACATTTTCTAAAATGTTCTATTAAATACCATTATACCGTTGCATTTTCTTATAACGAAGAGGACAACCTGCCTGTATACTCTGTCCGATTAGTCATTGGTCCAGTTAAGGTTAAGGTGAAAAAGTTGTCTACATTTTTGCGGTCTTTCATACAATTGTTCTATTTTCTTTGTAAAATAGTATGGAATGTACTGTATATTTCTTTATTTTAATTTTAGAACTTAAGGACACAATTGTATATCCTATAGTACATATCTTGTTTAAGTAAGGCATTGCTTATTTATTTTCTATTATTTTATTTCCAATGGTTCCTTTTCCCCAAGGAATGAACCAAGGGGCAGATAGTAGCTTTTGCACATTATTTAAACATGGTTTCCTAGTAAGTTACACATCATAGTAACTTCTTGGAGCTTTTTATGTGCATTGATTTAAATCTTTCTAAGTACTCATGATGTAGGAGTGCCCATTTTGGAGTGACAAACCTTTCCTAATTCCCTGTTTTCTCAGTGTTGATGCATTGTGGTGTTCCGATTTCTCTCTTTTTTCATAAGAAAAAAAGAACATGCACCTTCTGAGTTATTTTATAGTTTATTATGGATGTTTAGGTATTCATGAAAACTTTTCCATATATGATCTTGATGAATGGTCAATTGCTGTGCTGCATATGAGTTTTCTGATTAGATTGTCTCCATCTTCTGTATGCTCTTAAAAAATATAAGCCAATGGTTTAAGAAAAGGAATAACCACTCAAATATACTATGTTTCCTGCTCTTGATTTCCTTTCGAAATGGAATGCTACCTTACCAATTGACTGGCCTTACTTGCAAGCCATGATATCAGGCAGATAATGACGTCCTTGTTAATTTTCCCCTTTTGTTTTCCACTTTTTTTCATTATTTCATTTTGGTGATGGAATTGCTTACTTTTTCTATTTCAGGTGCTTTAGAAGGTGAGCCTTGCATATCTGTCGAGATAAAGGTACTTCTCACTTCTATGGTATTTATTTTTATTTTTTCTTTTTAGCATTGATTAATTTAATTCTGCAAGCATTACTCCAAATGAATGATAAAGTGGCTCTTTTTTAAATTTTTTGTTCTGTTTTCTTCTTCCCCCAGCCAAAATGTGGGTTTCTCCCATTCTCAAGGTTCATAACCCATGGCAACGCGGTTAAGAGATGTATGACTCGTTTCAGAATGCACCAAGCCCTTAAGTTGCATCAAGAAGAGGTAATCTTTCTTCATTGTTTCAATGAATTTAGCTGTCTTCATTTATTATTTCCTAATTTAGTTTGCATCACTGTTGCAATTTTTTTTTTTTTTTTTGTAGATATCAGAGTTCAGTGATTATGATCCACTTGATCTCTTCTCTGGATCCAAGGATCGTATACTTAAAGCAATTAAGGATCTTTTTTCCACACCTCAAAACAACTTTCGAGTGTTCTATAATGGCTCTCTTATATTTGGGGCATTGGGTGGTTCTGCAGAGAATACTGACGTGATTGTTGGAGAAGCATTTGAAGATGCACTGAAGTCTGTCATCCTGGCAGATGATGGGCTATGCACTACTAGCTTGCTACAGCTTGTCACTGAAACTTTATATAAATCTGGAGTTCTGGATCGACTTCTTGAAGTCCAGAAGCTTGACAGTTTGGACATAGAAGGTGCTATTCATGCATATTATGATGTAATTTCAGAGCCTTGTGTGGTTTGTGGACAGTTGAATGAAGATGAAGAATTGCATAGATATGCCTCTTTGCATTCCCTTCCTCTTGATCAAAGCTTAAAGATTGTCAAAAACTTTTTGATAGCTGCTACTGCCAAAGACTGTAGCTTGATGATTAGTTTTAGGCCAAGAGAAGGGAAAGAATGGGGTTCTTCGAATAACACAATACGTCTTGAATCAACAGGGCAATTTTTTGATTATAAGGTACATGTAATTCATCTTTTCATTCTGTTTATTTCAAAAAGATTATTTGAAAGCATTTTATGTTATAATTCTTCCAATTGATATCCTTGCCACTCGAGAGTAAATATTTATGAATGAGGAAAGAGAGAGTCTGCTTTTAGAAATAGTTATGAACATTGAAATCAAACAAGCGTTACATAACTATTTGGCATTTTATAATAAATTTTTTTTATTCAACTTATATTATTTATAATTTATCAGGGCTCACCAATATGGATCTTTTCATTTCGATGATATTTTTGCTACTGCTTCTCTTTGGGTTTGTGTTAAATATTTACCATTTGCTTCAGTTACGAGCTTTACTTAAATTCACCGTGTGCTTGAAAACCAAATCAGTCCAAATCTAATAAGCATACAAAAAGAAGTATTTATCAGTATCCTGAGTTGATTTTTCTCCACTTCAAGGTGTCCAATTATTTGTGAGGTGAAAAATTACCTGCTTACAATATTTCAGGTACACTTCATTGACCTGGATCTAAAACCAATGAAGAAGATGGAAGAATATTATGAACTGGATAAGAAGATAGTGGGTCTCTACAGGAAAATAGAGAAAGGGAAAGTAGGTGATATTCAAATGCAAAGTTATATGAGTCTAAGGATGGAAAGTCGATCCAATATTAAGAAACAATTTCCTCATTGAGGATTTACTTGTGTATGTGGTAAGTTCAATACTTTGCTTTCCTTGCCGTAATTATTACAGTGCCTGTTCTGGAATTCTAGTTACAGGCTAATTTATATTTACTACTTTACTTTATTTGTTTATTGCTCTCACATTGTTCACCCAACTAATCCTCAGATAGACTTTTGCCCATCCCAAAGCTAGTTCTAAGTGACAATGAGAATTTTGATTTATTAAATTATTAAGTTCTATACTTTGAGGCTTGAACACAGGGAAGATTACTTTAAATATTCTATGCTTTTACTACTAGAGCCACCCAATGCAGATTATGATTAACATGTATATTTTCCATACATTTACTTGTTTACCTGGCATCTTGCCGTAATTTATCATGCATGCATCCTTTAGGAACTTTTCTTAGCATTCAGTATACAAAAGTTTGAAATTATTACCACACAATTGCAAATATATACATTTTTCGGATAGATTATACTTGCTTGATATCTGTAATATAATTGAATATCATTAATGTTTACAGATACTGGAGATACGGGGTTTGTGTTGCCCATGTCTATATCTGGACCTTCAGATAAAGGATTTGGGGCATGCTTAAGTGGTGTGTATCATGGTCCAATACAATGGCTGCTCTTGGCTGCACCCATCCCTAAAAAATGAGCGATTGAAAAGGTTACTCTCTAGCATCCTTTCCTTGCATGTAAATAAAAAATCTGTCGAGAATTTCCTTCCAGGGGAAGAAATATCTCATAAAAGTGGATCAGTTAGTGTGGCAAAATATAAGAACGGGAGAACTCTCATTGGATGTTATTTTTCATTAGTGAAGCTAATTTTTAGTGGTATCATTTTCAATTTAATGATATTCAAGTTTTTTTTTTTTTTTTTTTTTTTTTTTTTTTTTTTTTTTTTTT